TGTGGGCATGTCTACATGAGATGTTAAAACTGCAGTAGACGTGTTCTGCTGAACATTAGTGTGTCATGGCAAAAGACATGCTAATGCGCTAACATAAGGTAGAATTAACCTACTGCACATTAGCGTCACCTGAAAGTCATGCACCAACAGTACCACAGTACCACACAATAGCACCAATTACAGCACATTAAGTTAGTACCCGTTATTACAGGTACTAAACTTAATGTGCCGTAATTACAGCATATTAATGCACATGTAGACGTGCCCAGTCTTAGTAAAACCAAGTAACTTTTGCCTGGCTATGTGCGTTTTTACAAAAAGATTTGTTACAATAATGCAGTTCTATGCCTACAAGGCCTGGAAAGTTCACTAACCTTATAAGAGTTTTGCAATCTTTCTAGACTCAAGGCACCCCTTGGAAAATGCTAGCTTTTAGTTTTCACTCTTTTTTTGAGCACAGAAGAATAATGCGCTCCACATCAGGCAAAAAAAAAGCCAGTTTCCGATATAGTCAATTTTCTTTATATCTGTGCCTATCTGATATCAGACCAATGTATCGGTGTACCTCTATTAATAATATCAGCTTTTTGAAGTAAAAATCATTTAAGTATTTTTGTCCCAGGGTGTCCATTTAAGGCAATTCCTATTCAAAGACATTCCACACAAGTTACTTTGCATAGACCAGACTAAAGGCCTTGTTCTACAGTCATTTTGTGCTGCTCCTTGAGCTCTTAACACCTGGACTGTCCACACATTAACGCCTGAAACTAGTTTTAAGCACTCCTTGGGTGGCTCAGTTACACCAATCCAAGGCAGAATTATCTCTGATCCATGTTACCTAGCTTGTGTTACACTAACATGTGGCCACTCTAGGCTACACCTTAGTGCAGGGGTTGTTAATCGGGGGTATGCATGCCCCTGGGGGTACTTGGGAAGGCCCCAGGAGGTACGTGGCGGCAGCACAGAAAGGCGGAGACTTGGGAAGCAGCGGCACAGGGGTGGGCCAGAATGAGAGATAGGGAGCTCTTGCTTTTCTGTCTCCAGGCCCCAAGTAGCCTGAACATGACTGCTCCAAAATCAAGCTAGCACTAACACCTAACAACATGTGTGCAGCCCACCAAGTCACCAGTAGCAAGGCCCTAATGCAGGTGAAGGCTTTGAAGTCAAATACTCACCAGATCAGGTCTATAATATCTATGCACAACTTCTGCACCAGCAAGCATAGCCAACATATTTAAGCAGAACATTTTCAAGTAGCGAGGCCAAGAAGCCCCCACGGGCATGGGGGAAGGAGAGAGAGCAGCTGCAATCCAAATACTCCTCTTACCTGCAGGAATTGGAGGGGGGAGGGGGAAAAAAAAAAGCAATCGTGATTAGCAAATTCTATTTCGCCCTTCCCCACACAATTTCAGCTTTGGGGATTTGTTAGCAACAAACCCCTCCGGGGTTAATCAAAATCAGGAGACAGGGGGTCCTTAGGGGGGCAATTTGCAGTGAGACGCTAATTATTAAAAACTGGAAAGGTGGGGAAAGAAGAAGCACTGCTTTTTGCCAGGGGTGGAACCCACAAGCATCCTCCAGGGGTCACAGTGACCTTCAAAAACACCCTCTGCTCCCGCCCCAAAGGCACCTTGAAGGGACCCCTGTGCCCGGCCACAAAGCGCCCCCTGCAAGCAAGCGTGCTGCAGAAAATGCCCCTACTTATCTGGAGGCAGCCCTAGGGCGCACCGACACCAGGGCGAACAACTGCCTGCTGACCCCAGGGGCAGCGAGCCCCGCGCGCAGATGAAGCAGGACGCTCACCGCCCAATCACGTGCCCCCCTCGTTCTGACGTCATCTCTGCCCGGTCTCCAGCAGCTGTCCACGTGACGGCGGCTCCCCGCCAGGGGGCGCTGCAGTAAGAGCCTGTTGAATCAGCCCCGCCCTGGCTGGTCCCGCTCGGAAGGGCTCTCTGCGCTGGTTGCGAGAGCAAGAACAGGGCGGGGGCGGGGGTTAGATTGATTTAGTTTTTAGATTTCTTTTTTTAGATTGCAAAACTCTAATTGGTCTAATAGCACCTCTGCCACCAGTCCTGATTGCCGCGAGAGGCAGGCAGGAGGAGTGTCAAGTAAGGCTAGCCTCGGCTGTGGGGGGACAGCAAGCCCCATAGCGGTAGGGCTGGGCACAGGACAGGAGATGCCAACGTCCGTGACGTTTGGAGATGTTGCAGGCGTTTCTGATTAATGAAAGCTATGAGTTTTCAGTTGAAAGAGATTTATTTATATTTTTTACCTTCTTGGTTACAGAGTAAAGGCTTGGTAAGGCTCAAAACCCAGGAGTCAAAGTGGTGATAGATGACAGAACTAGGGGCAAGGGTCTCAAATTGCAGCAAGGAAGATCTAGGTTGGGTATTAGGAAGGACTTTCTCACTAGCAGGGTGGGAAAGCACTGGAACTTGTTACGGGGAGAGGTGGTGGGATCTCCACCCTTGGTTTGACAAAGCCCTGGCTGGGATGATCAGGTTGGGGATGGCCCTGCTTTGAGCAGGGGGTTGGACTAGATCAGTGGTTCTCAACCTTTTTTGTACCAGGACCGATCCCAACAGATCGCCCCTCACTCCCAACCCACTGCTTCTTGCCCCCAAGCCCCAGCTCTTCAGTGTGTGGGGGGGACCCGAAGCAGCCCCTTGCAGGCTGGAGCTCTACCAGCCTGCAAGGGAAAAGCCACCACTTCCCCCATTTTTCTCCTTTAAAGGAGAATCCATTTTTAAAGTTTGTTTGCAACCCTTTCACATATTCCTGTGACCCACTTTTGGGTCACAACCCACAGGTTGAGAAGCACTGGACTAGATGACCTCCCAAGGCCCCTTCCAACTCTAATTTTCTATTTGCTATAACAGACTTATGACTTTTGTATCAGTCCTATATTTGCATTATCATATTATATTATTCTTTGCATTATTATATCTGAGTTGTGATTTGGCACATCTCTCCTAGCTCGAGTAGCAGTAGTCCTGTAAATATTTCAGATTTAGTCTAAAGACAGATGAGCAGGATCAAGCAAACCCCTTCTGTGTGAGCACTTTCAACAGTGATCAACACTTGACTTCGCTTTTTTCACACATCTACACGTGAAATTAGTGCACCTGAATAAACTCCAGCACCAGTATTTATTGATCCCCCCGGGCACAGTGTTTGCACCTGGGACCACAGCACATTGAGCAGGGGCAGCACAGGCCCAACTGGCAAGTGATCCGGGGGGTCAGCCTGCCAGCCCAGGGCTCCTCTGACCAAGCTCAATGTGCTGCGGAGGGGCTGGCTGGGACATCAAGGTGCTACAGCCCCATGCTGTAACACCCCTGAGCCCCAGCCAGCCCCGCTTACTGTTTATACATGCATTGTGACAGAGAAAATAGCTTTGCTGTAAGACAGTACATTTGTCAGGCAGTACTATCCTATGGCAGAGTTAATTAGTTTACTCTGGGCTAATAACGCCACACTGCAGATGGTGATGCTTTACTGTGGACCTAATTAGTCAACTCCACAGTGAAGTACACGTGTAGATGCACCTCGTGTGTAATTAAAGGGTGGAACTCATTGCTGCCAGATGTGGAAGCTAACAGTTTAGCCAGATTCAAAAAGGGATTGGACAAATTCTTGGAGGAAAGGGGCATCAGTAGCTAGGAGTTAGGGGCACAGCCTCTGAATCAGAACTTCCTAGACCTTAAGGCCGTGTCCACATGTGCGGCATACTGTGTAGTTGTTACTGCACAGTCATTTAGTACTTGCATAAGCAAGTACTAAATGACTGTGCAGTAAACGGTGTTAGTGCACAGCATCATTGCTGCACAGTTATTTTTAGATGCTATTGCACAGTAGCAACAAACTCGTTACTACTGTGCAGTAGCGTCGCTGTCATGATTTGTGCCCACTGATGCTACAGCATCTCGTGTAGATGCAACCTAAATGCTGGGGGCTGCAAGTGAGAGCCAAACAGTGAGGGGAAAAAAGCCTGGTCACTCTGCCTTTCAGCATCCACTCTCTGCCACCGTGCGGCACAAGAGACTGGGCCAACAGACCGACGGTGCGACCCAGCAAGTGGCAGTTCTGCTCTCACGCTCCAAGGTCCGTGGGTCACCACTTGCACCATCAGGAGCACAAAAGCGGCTTCCAAATAGACGAAGTGCTTGGCAATAACTACTAAACAGCAGTATTTCTTGCCACGGACTAGCCCTGCATTTTCTCCCAAGGCCTTTCAAGGGAGTTTTCACCCCAACTGTGGCCTGGTGGCTATTGGATACTTTCTTCTCTAGCCTTTTGCAGGTGTCTGCTTGCATCACACAGGGGCAGGTTGCTAAAAGCCGGGGCTGGGCTGGGAGGAGAGCTGGGTGCCTCAGGTGGGACCAGGCGGACAAGGCACTTTGGGTAGATGCCACATCCTTTATTAGACAAACGCACTGGTTGGAAAACCGACTTTTGCAAGACTTCGGGCCCAAACAGCCTTCTTCACTTATAGGGACCAGGCAGGAGGACTGGTGCGGGCCGTTTCTGCCCCGTGGAGCAGAGGCGCCCCTGCCCGGGGAGGGGAGGCTGAATGCAGACCCCACCCCCCCGCTCCGGGCCGAGGCCCTGAGTAGCGCCAATCCACGCAGGCCCGGGCCTGCCGGCTCCTCATTGGCCGCTCGCTTGCACGTGACCCGCGTGA